AGAAAAGGTACAGTTATTGAAAAACCCGGGTTCTCATTCCCAATTAAGTTGACTGTAATTGCTACCCAACCATCGAATGGAAGAATGTCACCATTTACAGCACAAACTTTCAACTCCTCCTCACCCTCAATGATTTCACTGAGTGGTCTGATAGGAATGTCTGGTAGGTACTTGTTTTTCCACTCTCTATCAATCATGCTCACTTGGGCTCCCGTGTCAAGCAAGGCACTGACTGCCAGGCCATTCAGGTTACACTGGGTAAGGGCTTTCCTCCCTATTAGTTTGGTTACATAGTCACTTTGGTTCTTGGGTAGATCATGTAAGATGGCATTTGCTGTCTTGTTTGCTTGCTTTGGTTCTTGATTTTTCAATAGTTTTTTTGGACTGTTAGGTTCTTGTGCATTTTCCATATTACATTGATCAGCCCAGCATATCACATCTTGGGACAATGGTTGGGACCCGGTCACTATTTGTCCCCCGACAGAGACCGGCCCCCGTTTCCCTGACGCGTAACTTTCTTCAAACAACCAACGGCCCTGTGGCCTTCCTCTCCACAGTGGAAACAATGGGAACATCCAGTGAGGCCCTGTTCAACGCACTTGTCACAACCGTAGGGTTTCCCTCTCCTATAATCCACTTTGCCTCTTAAAGCTTGGCTGCCTCGTGCCGGTGCCTGGGTCTGCATCGACTGTGACATGGACTCAACCATGGTGGTGAGTTTTTCAACCTTTTCTGTTAACTGCTGGATTACATCTGTTTTAGGTTTCTTGGTTGGGTTCTCCTCCTTCACATTAGAACACTGGGCAGCAGTTGTCTCCAGCTGTACACTGTGCGCGCCTGTTTGTCGCTGACGGGTATTCGGACCCAACCGCCTCTGTCTTTCACTTTCATCACTCATTATTTTCTTCATCTCTTTTAGGATTACTTCATCAGTCACTTGGTTATCAACAAGCAATGGTTTGAGTTCTCTACGTATGTCATCATGCTTATGCCCCAAGCCTTGATACACAGCATGGAGAAAAACGTCTTGCACAGTACTTGCATTATATTTCACATCAGCATGGGCATCTTTTGATGCAAGCAGTATCTTTTGTTTGAGCCCTATAGCACGGTACAGAAATTGCTGAGGTGTCTCACGTTCTTTTTGTTTTGTGCACATCAGTTCTTGGAATAGCTCAGTGTTGCTCTGCTCTCCTAGGTGGGAGTGGAGGAAGTCTTTTAGCTCTTCTACTGATAGATCATCCTTGTTCATTAGCATATCTTTGAAACTTCCCGGTTTGATTACTCTGAGGACAGCCCTTACAATCTCTGCAGTGCTGAATTGTTCCTTTGATCCCTCATCAATCTGCCGGCACATGCTGTTATAGCTGATGTCTGAAACTAGATCTCCAATTTGACCCCCTTGAATCTTGAATTCTCTTCGATGAAGGTAGGAAAGATCTCTTAAGGAGACTAATTTATCGGGTGCTGCATAGTCGGAGTGCCCTGTTAACCATCTACTCTGTGACACAGGCTTTGCAGGTGACTGTGGTACTGTCTGAGTGAGTGTGGGCACATACTGCATCATTTTCTTACTAAGCTCCTCATAACTAGTGAGTAGTTTCTGTATTTCTGTGTCATGTGTGGCATTATGTGCAGTGGTTGCGCTGTGACTTGCGCTATCTGTTACAGCAACTTCACTATCATTAGGTACAGGCACATTAATATCACCACTTGTATTACTTGGTTCAGCATTAGCATCACTTTTTGAAAACGATTCATCTGCGCCATCATTACTTGTTACATTTGGTTGTGCACCAGTAGCATAACCTTTACTGACTGCATCTACCACATTTTTCAGTTCAAGTAAATGAGCCATACCTGAATCCTCAAGTTCTAATAAGGACTTGCTGTACATAAAACCACTGATGTAGTCAAAACAGCCCTCTTCGTCCCCTGGCACGAGACGAGATGGATCCACTTCTGGTACTGGGCCTACTGACTTGGCAATCTGGAACAGTTCATCTGCACGCAGGGTGAGTAGATCCTTCTTGATGGTCCACATCAAGCTCTTCCTTTCGCCCTCCGCCATAACTGCTTCCCTATTCCTCGCACTTGGTCACCCAGCCCCTAAGTCCTTCTCGATCTCAGTCCTTACACAGCTTTCAGTATAAGTGACACACTCCACAACGAAAACAGCTAATTTCTCTTCATCAGTAGACAGGAACACTGAGGCTTGCACTAGATGATACTCTCCGGCTGCGCCAGGTCACTGATGGTTGCAGTGACGTTAGTCGCACGGGTCGAGGTAGGTGGATCAGCTCCCGAGCACCCAAGGAGTGATCCCTGTACGGGCCACCAAGAATCTGTTACAGGTATCAGAATATAACACCTGTAGGCAGATGTATATATCCTGGAATACAGGAAAGGAATAATTAGGCAGGGAGACGTGGCTTCACTTCGCTGAGTTCTCCGCCATTATGAGAAAAACCCAGCGAAGCACGCTAGATGGCTGCAGTCCATCGGGTAAGCCAGCCTCACACTGCCACCTACTGGTGAAAAAAAGTATTGACCTATCCAACACTGGGTTATATCATATTTTGAGAAAACAAGATGTTTACATGAAAAATGCACATTTACCATTAATGCCATTATATACATTCAAACTAATGTGATCACACATTGGTGGGCATCACAATAACATAAATGCTGCAGTAAGAGTGAGTAAACAGGCCTCAATCCAGTGTCCACAACAATAGTCCCACATGACACGGAGCTGTGATAACTCTGTCTGAAGTTCCGGTGCAATAACCAGGATGTTACTGGCAACATGTTTAACCTGTTTCATTGCATACACAACAAACTGTAATGTGCAGATGATGATACCTTGTGTATTCCTCCTGTGTTCATCACACCTGGCCAGTAAAGCTGGTTCTGATTCTGAGTAATAAATACTCACTGTAACTCGTCCCATTTCTGAATGATAGTGTAAATTTGATGTTACTGAATTACGATTATTGCTGCTTTAATGTGTAAACGTCAATGCGGTTGCAGCTACTTTACCACATGCACTCCAGGTACTTAGTCCATATTAATCCATCATACTGTGGAGTTACTGTATTTAGTGTGAAGAATCTGATTTATGTAATGTGGGTCTAGAAAAAGCATTAAAGTCATGAAGCTATTTTGAGAAGTGATGGCCTATTTAAATGGCAAAATATAAAACAAGCAAACCAAGAATCAACAGATGAAAGTTCATTTGTAGTACTAAACATATTTAGGGTGTTTTTACTCACTTTTTGTCTCTCCCATGACGTTATTCCTCTCTCCTACAGCATCCATTACAATTACATGCAAATGAAATGTTATGCAAATTAGGCGATGACGTCATTTAGCGACTTCTAGCTACTTTCCTTACTGAGGAGTTGGCAACACTGCGTGGATCCACTAACACAGAGGAACGAAAACCAGCTGTGAGGCGGGGACAGTCACAGGTAAGACTGAAGAGCTGGACCGTTATGTTAATACCGACACACATGAGTCACTTATATATTTTTTTCTTGGGTTGGAATTGATTATTTTTTAATTCCGCATCATTAGAAGAGACTGGAGATTTGGGAAACGCTTTCAGAATTTGGGTGAGTGTTAGGAAACGACGGCGCGGAGTTAAAACGGTCTCGGTTTGGCAGGTTGCCTGTGACCAACTCCAGTGTGGTCCGACCGGACTCACAAGCTGGAAATAACGGGACCCAGGTAGCGGATCGGGCCGTCGGCCCCGACAGGCTCACCCTGTCTAATGTCCGAACCGACCAGCGTAGAGGAGAGAGAGAGAGGGGGCTGTAGCTCCGCTCCGTGTGGCGCAGATGGTTTCCGCTATAACGGTCTAGTTGGCTCTGAGTATTTTAGTCTTTGCTCG